TCCAAGTTCAGTCAGCCACATCAAAGGATATTACTGAAAGAGATCTGTGCAAAAGATGAATCTGGCCCCCAGTCTCTGAAGAAAAAAACACATGAGCAGACAGTTCTCCTTTGCATAGGGTTAAGTTAATGTAACAGAGATGATTTGAACCATTAGTTATGTCTCAGGTGATAGTTTCAGGGGAGAATGACATGATTCAACTTGAGAGGAGCAACTCCAACAAAGTTAAAATACAATAAAACTAAGAGAAAAGATTACAAAGCTTCATGTTTCACTTGAAACCAGCAGAAAGAAAACTACATTTTCAACTACTTATGTAATATCAACAATGGTGTATCATTGAAGACAACACTTTTTACTGCTAAATATACAGTACAGTAAATAGAATTGTAATTGCATATGGATATAGTGTAATGTCTTCTTTCTCTGCAGTACAGTTGCATCATCTAGTGGACAACACAGAGATTGCATTAGTTTTACACTAGTTTTATAGGATTTAGCTTGGGGTTCATTAAATGTCTTTGCTTTTCCACTGAATATAGCTCATTGCAGTGCTTTCTAAAACTTAATTCTGAAATTACAGATATCCACTAAAACAGTCAGTAGAATGAACTGGAAATGTATTTTTTTCTTTCCACTACAACCTGCAGCAGACTGATGTCACCTAAACTTTGTTACATAGGCATAAAATCAAGTTCTTCCAGTTGAATTCAGCCGCTGAGCTGTGATTTCCTTGCTTTTGTACTGAAATCTTTAAAATCATTGATTTCACATGGTTCAGATCCAACTGCATGTCCAAACTGAGGGAAAATTTGTAACACTTTTAGCAAATTCAGTTCATATTTATTGTATAAAGAAACCCATAAAGTTCTGTTGGGACAATTTCTCTCCTCCTAGAGTTCATTATCTTAATCTCTATGGTCGCAGATGCACGAAGTGAAAACAAACACTTCAGATTATGCCAAAGTGTGGCATTTTAAAGGGGTATTCTTTACCTGCTAGGTGGGGAGGAGTTATGTACCTTGGGAGACATAATTTTTAAAAGCTCTTTCTTTGAGAATGTCATCTTTGAAATGTTTTCATAGCGTACCTAAAAGCTTTAATTATCAGGGTATGAGAGTTGATACTCCCTTATCTTGTCCTGAAACAGACAGGTCTAAAGGCACTTAACAATGATGGATGAGCTCCACACACTACAGCTGAAGAAAACTGTAAACTAGAAGCCACTCTCTGCAGAAGATCAAAGAAAATCCATGCTGTATTTACATAAACTGACACAGGAAAGATACTGTCATGAGGTTTCATGTTTATCATTTTTCAGTGACTTCAGACTGCACTAAACCAACTCCCTCCTCTCAAAAAAAAACCCCAAAAAACCCCAAATAAAAACCAAGCTGTGCTATTTCTGTCTCACTGTTATCACAACAAATAAAGCTTCTTCTCATTACACCTACCCAAACCCAGCGTCTCCACTGCAGTCACAGAGTGCAGTGCTACTTCAGCTCTCTTTGAGTCAAGCTAGAAGGGAATTCAGCTCACTGCCATGGCCTATACAAGGTCTGTATCACCAATGGTAAAAAGCTGGGGTTTACTGCTACTATTGCTGAGATTTGCAGATGTTATCTGAAAGGAAATTTATACAAAGAGGGAAATGCAATCTTTCCACACTAAGATCACAGCTAAATCCCTTCTTAGACTAACAGAGAGCCAGAGCCAAATGTTAACAGCACATCACTGAAGGCAAGTGATTAAGATGTTGGCAGCTCAAGGGGTCTCTAGGTAAAGTAGAGGGTGAGTCTAAGCATCCTCACTCTTAGAAAATTTGATTTAGTGTTCTGCAAGACAGCTGGAGAGCACTCCCAGTGCAGTTACTTCTTCAGGCACTCTAGCTCTTAACCCAACTTAGGGTGCCCTGTCTCACACACAGTTTAGGTTTGATTCAAAAAGGATCTTAAGCTTTTGCTGACTAAGCATACACACACACACACACGCACGCACACACACACACACACACACACACACACACAAATGCTGAATCATGACTTATCTAATGCTGGTTTCTTCCTGTTAAAAATCCATTGCTATTGCTATGTGTTACAAAAGCACTAGTTCCAATTCCATAGTTTATTCAGGCAAGATTTTGCCTTCGACATTAAGCACATATGGCTCTATTCATAACACTTGGTACAGTGCTTAAGGTAAAGCTGGGGGCTTACTGCTGTGCTTACATGCAACAGACAGAGGAGCAATTCATGTTGCCTACTCGCCTGCACTAGATCCCCTTCCTATACTCCCCTGGAGGGAGTGTAGGAATTACAGAATTAAGAGCCCATATTCAAACCACCTGGTATAAATGTGTAGTCTGTAGTGCAATACTGAAGCAAATAAACTTGTGTCAACCTAGTATCCACTTTGCAAGACACATCATACAGAAGTTGTTCTTAAAACTGCTATCTCCAGAAAAGATTTTTTTAAAAAAGGAAAAAGAAAAAAACCCACCAAACATCCTTATCTTCTTTAACTCTGGTACGATCTCATTATAAAGTTATAAATGGGAAACACATCTGTTCTTAGAGAATGAAAAAGATTTTATTAAAAGAAAGTAAGAGGTCAAACAGTTCAACTGTAATCATCAAAACTGCAGGACATTTTCCAAGCAAGGGTCCTTCTAGTACCTGCTCCCCGCAGTGTCCACCAAAATCTTCAAAGAGCAGGCACAGGCCAAGCATATGCAATATTTACCATCAGCACCCTCACAACCTTTAAGTATTTTGAGACCAGGGGACTACATAAGACTGAAGCTGGCTGTCTGGCTGGTAACTGCCAACAGCTCCATGTACAGGGCCTCTGCACTCCTGCCAACTTCTGTGTCCATATTCCTTATTAACCCCTGCAGAATGTTACCACATCGTTAGTTTCGAACCTGAATTCTTCAAGCTTCCTTTGAAAGCCCTTACTTCTTGCGCTGTCACCACCCACCCTCTTCATGTCATCTGTGACTTCTGTAGACCTATTTGCAGACCTAATCAAAATGAACGAGCAGCACTCACAGGGTCAGAGTCTCAGCCCCGCATTCTCTGCTGCAGCCAGGTTTAGTGGCACAGAAGGACCCTTAAGCGAGCTGGTGAGTACTGCCCTCAGTGAGATTAGTAGAGATTGCATTCCCAAATCCAGACATCTGGATACCAGGAGTACCAGAATGGGGCCAGCCAGAGTATAAAATGTGGTGCCAAATGACTTGCAGGGGTTAAAACCACAGTTTAGACAAATATGAAAGTAAGTTGGCCCGAAAGATGAAATAAGTGTGCCTCTAGCTCCAGAAAGTACATCAGTTCCTCTCCCAACCCATTCACCCTGCCCTCTGCTCTGAATTGTAAAGTAACCACACAGTGACAGCATCTCCAAACGAACAATACAAAAAGCTTTGGAGTACAAAAGTCTCAGGGCATTAGAGAAAACAAGGCAGAAAATAGCTTATTTTCAGCACTTTCTGATCCTAGGAAGAGGTTATGAAAATGGCATGTCAAAACCAAGAACTTCTGGTTTTGAAAACTGAGTAACAGCAGTTACTCTTCTCAGCTTCCCCAGTCTTTTGAACCTAAATCAACGTGTCCTTCTAGGTAAGAAAAGACCCTTCTCAGAGCTCCAGGTATCAAGACATTTCCTGTCCCAAATAGACCAACACAGAAAAAAACCCAGGGAAAAATCCCTGGAATCCTCAAATCCAAGCAAGTTTACACAATAACATTCTTGTTCACAAGGTATCAAAGGAAGTCTGAAAGTGCATTTGTGCTTGAATACTTAATAGTTTTCACCTGTTGCATTTTTTACGTAAATTATATCATTAGCTAGAATGCCTTTACTGCTGTATACAATCTCATTTATTTAAAAAACATAGAGAAGTCTTGTAGAAAATGAAGCAATGTCTTTACAAAAATAAACCTTCTTTTAAAAAGCACTCACTGTTCTTAAAAACGCTAAAAATAGTAATGAAAAATTCTATGAAATGTGATTCCCCCCAAAACAGAAAATAACCACAACATAATCACAATTATAAATGAAGTTTATACATCTTAAATAAGGGTCCTGCCCTGAAGTGCCCTTTGAAGAAGTTTCCCTCTTCTCTAAATGACACAGGAAGCTCAAGCTTCCTGCTTAAGTAGAACTAATACTGAAAGGCAGCTCATGAGACTATCCCCTTTGTAGACAGGATAGGAACATTTCTCAGTGTGAACACAAGACCTGAATGGAAACAGAAACAATTGCCTGGGAGGTCTCCCAAATAAGAGAGTTCAAAGTGACACAACCTTTCAGTTCTAATTCAAAGCAGGAGGAGTCAGAACACAAACCAGTGACTCTGGAGGGGGCTTTGAGAGTAAAGCAGGGAAATTCACACTTTCTTGTGCTCAAGAAACACTTGGGCCGAAACTGCGAAGGGAATGACTTGGAGATGGTCGCAAAAGGGCTGATCTGTGCTCTGGTCTGCATCCTTTACCCCAGCAATGAAGAGGCACTACATGAACTTGGGGACATGTATGGACCTCAGGAAAAAAGTGAAGGATCAGTACAGGGTGAAAATAAGTGGCTCTGCCCCTCTGTCAAGTGCCAGAGCTCAAACACACACTTAGCAGCATCTGCTTGACCCTGTGATCCATGCTTCAGCCACAGAGGCAGCTGTAAAGTCTAGGACTGCTGGAGCCCACAATCCCGAGGCTGCTTTGATTACCCCAGAAGCCGTTTTGCTCACAGCAGCCATGACTTCAATGAGGTGCAATGAAAGCCATCTGTGCTACCCCACAGCATTTGGGATGACCTTTTGTGGTACTGAAGAAGGTCAGCAAAGAACAAAATAAGACTCTGGATCCTGTGTGACCCTGTGAACAAACTCAGGCATATTCTGGTTACTTTTTACGTTATTCTTTGCTGTTGAGGTCAACTGTTAAAATAGCTGAGCAAGGCACATCCATGGGAAATGAGATCAAATCAGCCACAGCTATCACAGCTCCAGACAGGTCAAGCTGTTGCCACATCCAAGTTGCAAAGAGTCTCAGCCGATTTTTGTAGTATCTTCAGCTCTTCCAAGCGTAGTGCTTCTACCAAATCCAGGTGCTTTTTGAGGTTCTCTTTGTTCCTTTTCAACTGGGAAATCTACAGTTTACACAAAGGGGATGAAATTACTAAAATAATTCAGATAACTTAATAGAGGACATGAACATAAATTTGTGCAAAGCTCATCTGTGGTAGAAGTTTCAGTATTTTTTTTAATCTTCCACAAGAGAAACTGCAATAGTAAGAAAAGAAAAAAAAAAGAAAAAAAAGGTGAAAATCATCATGTGGATAGGAAGCAGGTCAAAAACAAGGAGAGGAAGGGAAATTATATCAGACTCCTAAGTACATACTATGCTCAAGACATTGCTCAAGATCAGATTCACCTCATATACTATGCATATAGGTGTTTCCTTTGCAAAAGTGTGGTTTTAATAACCCCTTTCCATGGTAGCTGTCCAACCTGACATTATGTACACATGTTGTTTGCCAAACTTTAAAAAGCAAGGAGAGATTGTTTTTCTAAGAGCACAGACCTCCCTCACAGGAGACCGGTTGACAGGGGTAGCTCATTTGGCCTGACTGCCTTTAATGCACACAACCTTCACTTTCTGAACAAGGCATTCGTGGCAGGTCTGCAAAATCTTATGTGCCCATCTCATACAAGCCTGCATTTTCTTTTAAGAGGTAACCTCAACATACACATTGACACTGTATGCAGAGAAAGTTTAAACACTTCTCTTGTTTACAGGGCTTCATATAAGCTTTGTAATACCATTGCTTTCTTTGCTGCAGCTATAAATCCTGCCAAGCAATTGAGGGCTGTCAGCCACTCTGAAAACAAATCCTACACCACCCCAGTGCAGTCAGTTCTCTCCACCACTCTGTTCTCACCCCAGAAAATTACACTGCAGTACGCCTATGCTAGAAGAGAAGGAATTCTGGGATACCTTGTTCTTCCCATCAAATCACCTGGAGAAGGACATGCTGTGTCTCCTCTATTAAAAAATGGCATATTTTTGCTGTGGTACTCAAAGTCTGCTCTTCATTTCTTGCTGAAATTACGTCACCAAGCAGCGTCCTCCTCCAGCAAGTACTAGAACAAAAACATTTGAGCACGACACAACCATTTGCCATATTCCCCAACTAAATGATAAACACATGGTTATGCAAAGAACAACATCACTGACATAAGGCAAGTAAGGTTAGCATACGTGAAAAAGGCACACAGCATTCAGATATGAGACTGATATGGCAAGCAAAAGAGAAGAGAGATTTAATTGTCTGGAGCTGCACTTCCAATTCTCCACCCTAACACTTTCAGTTACAGCCACAGTGTGTACTTAGACCAATGCTTCTGGTCTTTACTGCTCTGCCATGCTGCCACCAACTTCAGCAGCATCAGTGAGTACTAAAAGCTGTTTCAGTCAGAACGTCTTAGCATTGCTTCTGCTAAACTTCACCTTACCTGGGTTTGAAACCAGTATCATTTAGATTCATTTTTAGTTCTTATAATCAACTTATTCCACTCTGCAATAAATCTTCAAAGCATAAACAGCTTTGAGTAAGGGAAATGTTATTATTGTTGTTGTTGTTGTTGTTGTTGTTGTTGTTATTATTATTATTTGCTATTACAAGCAAAGCTCAGGTAACCATTTTCTATTAATGCTGTTTGAGACAAATTTGCCATCTGGAACAAATTATCAAACCTGAGCTGATAGTCACTGGACACGAATTTCAGCAACTTATTTGGCCCTAGAATTTCAGAAGCAGCCTGTGGAATATATGCTTCAAAGAAATCAAGCAAGGTCAACAGCATTTAAAAGTCCCATCAAACCAACAGGAAAAAGGTCTGGAGTCTGCATCTTAAAGTAGTATCTTGTTCTCAAAATAGAAAGGGAAAACAATGGAGTGTGCCTAGAATTTAGCAGAAGAAAGCAAAAGACCAAAGCAGCAAATACACAATGACTTTACATTATATGATGTTCTCTGCCTTCCTGTTTTCACTTCTCACCTGGAGTCAATGAGATAGACAGGAGATCCAAAACAACTGTCCCAGCTGCCTCACACACAGCCAGCAAACAGCAAATAAAGAAAAATGGCACATGCATATTGTCTGAATTTTCAAAAGTACTGAAACTTACAATTCATCTGCTCCAAGACTTAACACCTTGAGGGCTGTAAGAAGTCTCCAAGATGGTCCATCCCATCCAAAGGTCAGATTCCTAAAAAGTCAGAAGTTATGAGATGCAGAAAGTATAGGTAATCTTTTACAGGATGATAGCTTTCTTCCTGACAAGTGTCAACAAGGTAAGATCTGCTCTTCAGAACTAGAGGACACCTTGACTCCCCTTACTCTACACTTATCCACAGCTAGGAGACAGCCTGGACCCTAAAACCTATCTCAAGCTTTGATATTGGTGCTTACCATTTCTACATTATCTCACAAATAGCAAGCAAATTAGTTGGTTAAAAAAACATCCCACAATTATTTTATGCTGGATTTTGATACTAGAAGCAAAATTTGACTCCCAGAAAAGCTTAAAAGAAAGCTTAGAGAAACAAAAAACTCCAGATACCTACTCTAAGAAATCATGATCCTTTAGAATGCAAAGTTTTGCATTTCTTTGCTTGTCCAGTGGTGAAAAATATTTGAGGAGAGTATCTATATTAAAAAAAATAAAATATATTTATGGCTTTAAACTCTAAGAGGTTAGATACAGCAGATATAAGGAAGAAATTCTTCACTATGAGGGTGTTGAGGCACTGGCACAGGTTGCCCCGAGAAGCTGTGGATGCCCCATCCCTGGAAGCGTTCAAGGCCAGGTTGGATGCGGCTTTGAGGAATCTGGTCTAGTGGGAGGTGTCTCTGCTCGTGGCAAGGGGATTGGAACTAGATGGTCTTTAAGGTCCCTTCCAACCCAAACCATTCTGTGATTCTGTGATATTTAAATAAACTGTATGAAGAAGAAACCATAATACTCAATTCTGAAATGACATTTCAACCATATTTTTCATGTAGCTGCAGGACAAAGACCAAAACTTGCTACATTTTGGTGAACTTTAACATAATCAAACATGTATCTACACTTCAAAAGCTATCAGCAGTCTCCAGGACTGTATCCTTGTAATGGAAATCCTGACTCAAATTGAAGTTATGAACAACTTCAGTTTGTGGAGATGAGGACTTCAATCCTGAAAGCAATGGTAAAATCTAAGCCATCCATTTGGAACCTCTACATTTGTACAACTAAGAATCACAATTTTATAAAAGAAAAAGTTACCAAAGAACACTTTCAATTTTAAAACTCCAATCTTTAAATTCTATACAGTTCAAAGGGGTATCAAAACCTATCCCACTTCTTGGAAATACACACAAATATTTCAACAGTACTAAAAAAAAAATCATACTACCTTTATATGCACTGTGCATATTGTCCATTGTGCATTTATGCATATGCATGTGCATGAACTTCTTCACTATCCTTTACTTATCCCTTTTTACCCACATCTCCTGTTGAAGACAGCCAGGATTAACATGCTCAGATTCTCTGTTCTCTACTGTTGTGCCTTTCAATGTGAAGACAATCTATAAATCCAACCTGATGAGACATAAACACTGCTGTGAGGGTTATCCATGGCAACAAATCCATATTCTAGAAGTAGTCGCTGATTATCATGAGGCCCATAGCAGATAAATACTTCTTCATATTTTTTGCAGTGTGAATTTGTCCGAATTTCATAGCTTCTTGTCTGCTCATTAAATGCAGCATTTACCTTCAAGAAGTTAAAAACAAAAGGTTTTACTCTTGGCAGGAAGAGAAAGGAATAAGACCTTGAATATTAAAATCCAGTATTGAACACTTCTCTGACACTGGAACAAAACAGTATTACAGATGTCGGAAAAGGCAACCCATTTGGATGATTCCACACCAGGATTACTCTATAAATACTAGTACAAAGGAAAACAAACATCAAAACCTTAGCCCAGAGGATGTGCCACCCACTGTGTGGACTTATTACAGATGGCTTCATGCAGAGTTGGCCACTTTTGTGCTACCCCAGCTCTGTGTTGGAAGACAGTCCCTGACATAAAGTGGAACTGTTCTATACACTTTCCTAAGGCTGCTCAGAAGCTTCAGCCAGAGGTGGAATAACACAGGTACCATGTAACTCAAGATTTGTCTCAGGAGCTGAGCCTTTTGGGAGAGCATGGTCGTGTTATATTTACAACTGGCTCTTCTCAACAGCTACCCTGGACACAAATCTTACCCAGCCACTGTGGGCTCTTCCTGTAACTTTGCTTTGTTACATAAACTGAAACATTTGAATCATCTTTATTCAACTGCCTTCGGCTGTATAACAAGCTCCAGGGTATATATGAACCTGAGTACTCAGAACTGTGAGTACTTAAGTCTGCATGTGTCCTCAATAGACAATTTCCACACTATGAGACCTGTCACCGACCTCCAGACACTTCTAATCCATCATATGAAGGCATACTGTATTGAGATAGTGCACTTACAAGTAAAGAAATTAAATTAGCTATTTTTAGTTTCTTACCTGAACATTTGGACTGTGGTTTAGCAAGTCTAAATATGGTGCCAATGCATAAACATCTGGCTCAAGAGAAAAGCATTCCCTTTGTGAATGTTTCATGTATATTGTTCTGGTATTAACAGTGCACCAAGCCCACTCTAGAGCACTGTAGCTAAAAACAGTTCCCGTGTTCTCAGCAAAAAAAGACTGCAGGGAAGAGAAAAATGCCTTGGAAGACATGTACAACTCATGGACCGTCGCTCTCTGCTCCTGAGCCTTCTTTCTTAAAGGTTCAGGAAGAAGGCTGACTACATCATGCTCCAAACAAACAGGGCAAGTGTATGCCTTGGGTAAAACATCAAGATACGGCTTCCACTGAGATTTCTCACCAGCATGCTTCTCTGCTATTAAAAATGTGCACAGCGCTATCAACGGAGATACAGGAGGCTTCCATCTATTAGAAAATAAAAAAAACCATAGCAGATACACAGAGGTGAGATAGGAAATAGATGCAACAGTATTTTATCTCTACTCTAGTTCTATTAAATGTTATAAATAGCTTCTATATTAAACATCTTTGTAGTGCATCTCCAAGTCCTTTTGATTATTTCAAAGGGGCTTTTGACTTCATTTTATTGGGAAGCTATAAAAGTTGGTTTGTAGTAACAGCTTCTGGCTCACCTATTGGGGTTTTTTGGGGGAGCAAGAGATGGGGTTTTTTATTTTACATAACAAGTACTCAATGGTCTTTGTTCTGAATTTTCTAAAAGGCTGTGTTTATCCCACTACTTTGCAACCTCTATTTTATCCCCCTTCTCCTACTGAAACATATTCACAAATTCCCAAGAAACCATTCATAACTGGCATTTTGGTCCAAGCTGGCTCTAGAGACAGGTGAAGTTCAAGCTGTAGCATCTTTCCAACTGCCTAGCTAAAAGAGGATGCTCTGTGTCCAAACCTTATTTATCTGAACATTCCATGTGAAAGTCCACAAGAAATACTTGTACAAGTTAGGGACTGCAGTCTAAAGTCCTATCACCACTTAAGATGATAAAGGTACTAATGAGCAACCCACAGGAAAGGTCAGCTTGTCCATAAAGTGCCACTTTTCACTTACTTCATAATGTGTTCTCCTATGCAGCTACTAAGAACAGTGCCCGTGGTGAGCAAGCATTTCTCAGGCAATGAAATAATCAGATCCCCTGCCTTTGAGGGAGGAAAAAAAATAAAATCACACACAAAGAATAGCAAAGGTCAAGTGTAAATGACTCAAAATACTACACAATTTCTGAACAGAGACATTCCCCAGAAAACACTAATGTCAGGAAGCAAACAGACGTGATGCTGAACTTGATGGAAACTGGCATGATTTTAAGACATTCACAGTCCAGTAGGAACCGTCATCTGCAGAAAGTTAGCTGTTCACAGAAACCTTGTTGCCTGGCTACTCACTTTCTTTTTACTGAGATATATTTTAGATTTTATCTCACAAATACCTGACCTTCTACCAACATAGCAGTATGGGGTAGGGATATTTTAGTTTACGTCTATCCTGGCCTAGTTTGCCAAGCTGCTGCATGTGTAAATTAGCTTTCACAACTGGCTTGAGCCATATGTGTCCATGACTGTAGGGAGGGGACATAAAGGAAGATAATACTCTCCCCTTCCCGTTCCTCTCCTGAGTTTCCCTATCTTGCTCAAGCCCAGTTGAGTCTAGCTCTCATTTCACTCGCTACAGACTCAGAGCAGCTGTGGATAAACTGAGCTTCTGGCTTCAACTGCAAGATGTAACCCTGAGCCAGTATGAGAACATACACTGTGCTCCACACACGACTTTTCCACTGCATCTCCTTCCTACCTCTTGCTATATTTTGCAAAAGGTTCTGGGTGTGACTCCCCACTATTTGATAAACTATTCTGATGCCAGTTAGGAAACTTCTCCAACAAGCTTATTTTCTGAGAGACACTTTTCAGTCAGAGCTCAGTCTTTCTGTGCCAATATCTGAAGGGCAAGGTATTTTTTTCTATCATTGCCCTTTTTTGTTACGTACGTCTAAGAAATTAGACGACATAGAGGGCCGTCAAAGTGAGGTTAAAGCTGTGGTTTCACATTATGGCTAAAATAACCTAAAGACAAATGCTGTTTAAAGTCCCATCCCTTTCCTCCCTGAGATGCCATTCCTTCCTTTGTACCAGCACTGCTCTGACCAAGGTGGGAGATTTCAAGGAGCAAAGCTAACAAAGCCAATACCTTTTTTTATTGGCTTCCTGATGCAACTTACCACATGGGTGAGGAAGACTGCTACAGCCAGTGCAAAGGAAGCCATGGGAGCCAGTAGCTGAGAGAGAAGGCATACAGGAGGGATAGGACCTACTCCTCTCTGGTTTCAGTTAGCCACTGATTGCCTTCAACTGAAACACGAGACTACATATAAATCTCTGTAAACGAGTACAGGAATGTCTCCATCCAACAAGTCCTCAGGGTACACAGGACGTCATTTTACAGATAGGCCAACACTGCAAATTGTGGTAATAAGTCAGAAATTACATGCACATCCAGGACTGTGAAGACCTTGCCTGGAATTCTGAGTCTTGTTTATTGCAAAAGTAATAACATCTCAGAAGAACCTGAGGAGCTCTTGCATTAGACTCAACATTACTAACCTGAAGAGATTTTGTTGTCATCAGTCCTCTTCCTGAATCTGAAGCAGTAACAAAGAGGATGTTTAAATACATGTGTATATGCAAAATGCAGAAGACTGTGATAAGCAGCAAAAAATTAACAGGCCAGCAATGGAAAGCTCTAAAAGAACACACATCATATCCTACAAACCATAAAAGCCAATTATGGATTGTTCCAGTTATATATATCTCATTTCTTTGTTCTCTAATTCCTTTTTACTTTTCAGGACCCTGTGAAAGCACATGTCCTGCAACACTTGCTGTCCAGTTCTAGCAAATACTCAATGCCTTTTTCCTGGTTTTTTTTCTTTAAACCCATCTTTTATCACCAGCTGCTGTTCCTGGTTTCAGAGTTTTATCTAAACTTTACAATTCCTTTTCACAATATTCTTCTCTGATTCATACTATTCTCTCTATTCTCTCTTTAATATTGAAAGTTTTTCAAACATAATCTACTTAAAGAGAAAGAATACAAGTATACACCTTTACTGTAAAAAGGGCAAAGTTAATCCCAGCTCCAAAGTAATCTACTTATCTGTATCACT